GTCTGTACAGTATAAAAACCATTACGCCTATGGAGAGTCACCACTTTTCACAAAAACAAACCTGTGTGTGTGTGTGTGTGTGTGTGTGTGTGTGTTTAAAAGAGTAAAAGTTTAAACTTTTACAGTGAAAACTTTTAAACAACCATAAAAGTATATGCTGTTACAGCAGTGCATTAAATTAAATTAAAGTATTCCTCTCCGCTGTGGTCTCTGCATGCCTTCCCTGCACAGAAAAGTGCAGCGCAAACATGCTACAAAACATCTCCTTTTGAGTTTCACAGATGACAAAGTCATGAAGGTGAATAAATGATGCCCGAAGTTTCATTTCTGAGTGAATCACTCCTTTAACAGCAGCAACCGGCTATAATAACGCAGGATTTTTCTCGGTGAGTGACAGCATGAGAGGTCACAGGGTGAATCTCGGCTCGTCTCTCACGGTGCCACTGCTGTCATCGTTGCACACTGTAAACCAACACTCATATAGATCTCTCCCCCCCCGCCTGCCACATCGACTCAGCAGTTATAAAGATCTCATTGATTTACATTGCAATCAGAGTTTCATTTTACTTTTTGGCCATTTCCATATCAGCAACTTTTTCTTCTGAAGTCTGAGCTCTATATGGTCCTGATGTATCAAAGAAAAACACAATGTATTTTTTAAGTTTTTCTCTTTTTTTCTTCTTTTTTTGTTTAAAAGCTCAATAATCCGGTTATTAATTTAGACTACTATGTCAGGCTTTACAGGGTTAACACAGATTTATAACACGTACATCCATCTTACTAAGACATATTATTGGCAGATACAGAGTGACAACTGATATGTATTATATGTAAGTAGTCTGCTATTCAGTTATAAAGATCTCATTGATTTACATTGCAATCAGAGTTTCATTGTACTTTTTGCAATTTCCATATCAGAAACTTTTTCTTCTGAAGTCTGAGCTCTATATGGTCCTGATGTATCAAAGAAAAACACAATGTATTTTTTAAGTTTTTCTCTTTTTTTCTTCTTTTTTTGTCTAAAAGCTCAATAATCCGGTTATCAATTTAGACTACTATGTCAGGCTTTACAGGGTTAACACAGATTTATAACACGTACATTTTATAGTTCCATATGTAATTTGGATAAATTGAGAATATTGAGAAAGTTGTGAATCAATGGATGCACACAGTTACATGGAGTCTCCTCTCCTCTTGCGCCCTCTTTTGACCAAAGGCAGAAGTGCACCAGGTATATTTACATTTATTAATTTTTTAGCAGACGCTTTTGTCCGAAGCGACAGGGATCTGCCAAACAAAATTACAAAAAATGTCTAAGAGACAAAAATAAACTCAGTTCATTGTGTCAAAGGGACAATTATATTATTAGTGGTGTTTGCCAAGACAAGCAATTGCTCATAACTATTAAACTTAAGGTATTTAGCATATTAAAGGGATAGTTCACCCAAAAATGAAAATTCTATAATTAATTACTCATGTCCTTTGTTCATGTTCAAAACACAAATTAAGATATTTTTTCTTTCCCAAGTCAAAATTCTCTTTTGACTTGGGCCAGTAAACAATCACCTAGTAACCATCCAGAACACCCTAGCAACCACCAAGAATACCTTTTCGACCATTTAGCAAAATTCTGAATTTTGCACAGGTTACGAGTCCGACTCTCTAACCATTAGGCCACAACTTCCCTGTCACGACTGCCCCGTATATGGCACATAAAGATTGCACTACACCAGGTTTGTAGCCAATGAAGTGACATCAAACGACAACGCGTCTTGATTGAACCCCCAAAAAATACCAAAAGTACCCAACAGAACCTTTGTGTGTGTGTGTGTTAAAGTGAAATGACAATACAGCATGACCGAGATAACTGCAAATGCATTTGAAGAAAAAGAAAAAAACGAAATAATGGCAATAAATTAACTGATTTGACTGCTAATGACATTTAAGAACTGTGACAGATGGGAAGATCATCAGCGAATAATGACTTATGTTCTGTTTCTTACATAAAGCTGTCATATGACTTCAGAAGACTTAGCATAATGTAGCACAAATGTTGGGTTACGAGTCCAACTCTCTAACCATTAGGCCACAACTTCCCTGTCACGACTGCCCCGTATATGGCACATAAAGATTGCACTACACCAGGTTTGTAGCCAATGAAGTGACATCAAACGACAACGTGTCTTGATTGAACCCCCCAAAAATACCAAAAGTACCCAACAGAACCTTTGTGTGTGTGTGTGTGTGTGTTAAAATGAAATGACAGTACAGCATGACAGAGATAACTGCAAATGCATTTGAAGAAAAAGAAAAAAACGAAATAATGGTAATAAATTAACTGATTTGACTGCTAATGACATTTAAGAACTGTGACAGATGGGAAGATCATCAGCGAATAATGACTTATGTTCTGTTTCTTACATAAAGCTGTCATATGACTTCAGAAGACTTAGCATAATGTAGCACAAATGTCATATGAAATGCTTATGAATTACAAGAAAGTTCTCAAAGATACTTAGACACTGCCTCATGGACACGATGCTGATCATGAATCTACAGGTCGATATGACAGCACTATATCTGACCTATGGATTTTCTGAAATCTTTGTTTTAGTGCACTTGTTTTTTTGTTTCCCCGTTTACATTCCTGATTTATTTTTTTCATTTCCTAGATGTCTGGGGGGGGTGGCTGGAGGAAATTATGTCAATCTATACACAGCTACAGAGGAGGCATAAACATATTGAAAATGCACTATAAACTTGAATTGATTTTAGATATATTAAATCACACTGGATTGCATATTAATCATACAAATCCATTTGGTAACGTTACAGATTTTGTTACTCGATTAAACAAACAAATTAAGAGTGCTAACATATAGCACTCTTATATTCTATCTATATAGAATCATTCTACTCTAGTAAGATATACCACTATAAAAAGTTGACATTTGACCAAAGTGTGTCTGTGCGTTATGTCACACCAAATGTACATGAAGACAACCCTAAACACATGGTTAAATTAGCAACAATGAAAAAAAAAATAAAAAAAATAACACACCTCTGATTGTCAGGGTTCTGGAAGGAGGACCCAATTGCAGTGCGAGTAACAAGGGTTTATTGACAAAACACATCAATACAAAAGGGTAGTGAGGTACATATGGGATACCACAACAGGAACACAAACAGAGATAGATAGGGAACGCCACTGGAACAGCCTCCGACATCAACTGGCAGAATACTACAGCAGCAGAGGAGGCAGCAAGACCAGGCCGGTGGAGAGACCAGAGCAAGGCACCAGAGAGCTGAGCTCAGATACTTATGGACCATAAACTCTGAAGCACCCCAGACACCAGGCAAGGGAACAGGTCAGGACAGGACCTCTAACACCACAACATAGCTCCACAGGAACACAAATTACTCCAAGACAAGCAAAAGAACAAACAAAAAGGACTTTAAAAAAAAAAAAAAAAAAAAACAGGACTAAGGAGAACTCGAATACTAAATTAAAAGCAAAAAAGACAAAAACAGACCACATCCAAAAACAAGGAGCAAGACAAGAACATAGAATTCCAAGAGACAAGACTAGAGCACAAGATCAAACAGACAGGAACACATAATCACCCACATCTACAGACAGCGACAAACACAGTGAGGGAAAGAATGACCACAAACCAGCAAAGACAATAGGGCAAGGGGCACTATAAATAGGGAGGAAAACACACGAGGAACAGGTGAGAGCAATTACACTAACAAGGACTCAATCAGGGCTAACAAGAGGGTGTGGTAATGAGGAAACCAGGAGGAGGGGCTAAAGAAGCACATGGCTGAGAAAAACAATCAACTAGGCCATGTGCTGACAAGACAACATAGACACAAGAAACAAAACACAAGACAACCAGAGTGTCAGGGCAAAACCCTGACACTGATGTCTTTTATTGCTTATGATTGACCAAATTTAATAAAGATTTACAGATAATATTCATATTATACTCTACTGTCATTCAAATATGGACAAAAAAAACACATGCCATTTTTCATCCTAAATCTGTTAAAAAAAAGGTATTTTAAAAAAGAAGAAAACAAAAACTAGCTGAAATAAAAGTTTAGACCAACAATGATGTTGGGAGACAAAGCACTGTCTTGCTATTTAAAACAGCTTTAACAGCCTTAATGTACAGGGCTTACACTGTCAACCTGTATTACAGACAAAATATATACGAATTACTGAAATAAATGAACTTTTCCATGACATTCTAATTTATTGAGATGCACCTGTGTATACATAACAATAGAAGTCTATGGGTTTTTGGGAATATGATTTTCCACTGTGGGGGAAAAAAAAGTTTGCCCGATCAGGTAGAAACTAGTAAATGGTGTCAGAACAGACTACAGGTCTGTGCAAAGTTTGATGTTAACTCTACAGTCAGAAAGTCACGCCAAATGAATTAGATCCCACGCGTTGTCACTGAATGGTTTATCATGGAACATGCAGCTATATTTATGTCTCCCATCTCATACGGAGTTTTCTTACACACCCCGTGTCTTTCTTGTTCCATTCTGGTTTTTCAAGACTGAGCAGGTTTATGAGAGGAGTGGCCGCGCGCAACACCTCGAGACCTCACCGCAGCTGCGCCTGCTGCTGGTGACAGGAATCGCCCTTCCAGGCCTGGCTCATGAATATTAATTACGTACAGTGACGTTCGCCAAGCTGTCTGATGATTGGATGACTCTGCCGAAGTCTTATGAATATTAACTAACAATTGACGTTTCCAAGAAACGTTCATTATTATTCATGAGATAAGCAGTCGCCATAGTAGGATTCCTACATTTACGACCCGCCCTCCTTTCTTTAAAGTTTGAGCTGCACACCTACAACCCAAAAGGACACAGACGTGTATTTGAGCTTGGAATCTATATGTACAATCTTATGGAATAATTGTATCACTATACAGGTAAATGCACATTATTTGAACTTGTCTATTTGTGTATTTAATATGCTAATGACAACATTCATTCAGTCTCCAATGTAAATAAAGGGTATACTTATTTCGGTTGTAATATTTATTTTTTTAATCATTCTGTATATTTAATAGTACCTCCGGACTAAACTGCCAAAATAGTCAGTTTTTCCCCCACAGCATGGAAATTATACAGGCTTCAAATACAGACGGTTCATTGTAAGAGACACTTCATAAGTTACTTATTACCAACCAACAGGTGCAGATTACTGTGCTCCTGTTATAGATTTTATTTTTTCCCCCGGTTTTTATTTTTATATATATGTAAAGCCCTAATAGTAGATAACCTCATTTAATGCTTAACTTATTAACTTATATTGCTCGTTTACATTAATATATGAATATATTTGAAAATATATGAATAAGTTTGATTCTATTTACAGATATTTGCATTTTATTGATTAACTAATGAATTATATAATGTCGTTGGTTATTGGTAAAGTTTCTTACATAATGTAAATTCAGAGAAGCATGACAGAAATGCACCTGACTGATAAATAAGAGGCTATATTGTTCCTCTCCAGACACGCACTGTCCATGTTATAATCTCATCAGGTAAATTTGTGTATAATAATTTGCATATGTTCCTGGTGAGTGTAAGGTCTGCAGATCTGCTTAGGTTACATGCTGTGAACTCAACTTACTTTGAACATTAACTCTGTCCTTTGACCATCCCAGGTCAGAAATGATTGGATCTCAGAATGGAGCAGAGAAAGACAGTATGCATTTTTAATAATCTAGTTTATTTAAAACTATGGACATTTTTTGTTCTGAGGTTTCTCGAGTAATTAGCAGCTATAATTTTCAATATCTTGCATAGAAAATGCTTTGGTGGCAACTCCAATAAATACTGATAAGGGATTGTCTGATAACTGCTGGCTTCATCGTTGTGATGTATTTTGTCACATTTTGTCCATCTATATATCTCATCTGACAATACTGGTTTGCTGTTGGACCGGTTTGTTGAACGAAGACAGATTTACGCCAAGCCAAAATATGAGAAGTGAGCATTTTTTTCTCCTGTGGATAATGTTTCATTGTCTTTGCTTGAAGGATTTTCTGTTTGTGGCCAATGGAAGTCAGAAAGTACACTAAGATAACTCAACTTTGCCTAACTTTGCATGCAGTCTGAGGAAGGGATTTCCTCCTAAACACTCACAACAAGCCAGGCTCTAACTTGTTTTGCACTGTGAGTTTTGCACGATGATTTCGAAATGTCAACATTTGGATTGCTTCAGTTCATTTCAGGCTAGTGCGTGACTTGTTGCAAATGAGTGATTTCTCCATGTGATGGTGTTTGTGTGCATGCAGACTGCTGTTATCAGAGTCAAACATTGGGTGAAAGTGATGCTGGTCATTTATTGTGGGTCATGCAGGGTGTGTATAAATAGCCTGCAAAGAAACGTCTAGTCGTTTCTTGTTTGAGTAACTCTAGTTGGGCTAGATTTTTAACTCTAGTTAAAAAATCTAGCCCAACCAGAGTAACATGGCCTCAGAGAGCTCAACCAACTGGATTGGCTTTTTGTGTCTTTCCCAGAGAGCGCTGTTTTTATGTGTTTATGGCTGCTTTGACGTGTTCATTGATTCATTTAATCTGTCTCTACAAAAAAGGTCTAATATAAAGATTTCCATTAACGTACATACAGGGCCGCATTAAGACTGTACTGGGCCCCGGGGCTATGACTTACTGCAGGACACCCCATCACAATAATGATATATATATAAAGCTTTAAATATGATTTTTATCCCACATCACAATTCTTGATGCAATGAAATTTCATAATTTTTGTTACCAATTTCAATATCACAAAAAATAATACTAGCAAGTAAAAATAAGCTTACTGAAGACAAGAAAACAGTCACAAATTAAGCTACAACAGAACAAAGATCATAAGAAATCAGCCTACTTGAAAAACTTGAAAGCACTGGATAATATTACGATGTATAAAGAAAATTGACAAATGGACCGAATGGTCTTCATTGTATATATTCAATATACATTCATTCTTATTTATTTTACAAAAGTGATTCAGTCAAGGACAGTAAGTGATTTTCTTTCTGATGTTTGATTTACATTATCGACACAAATGGCAACAGCAGCTATATTAGGCTGCTTTAGAGGAATAGTTCACCCAAAAATGAAAATTCTGTTGTTGTTCTAAACCTGTATGAGATTCCTTCTGCTGTTGAATGCAAAATAATATATTTGGAACAATACTGGTAATCAGACAGTTGCTGGGTCCCCATGACTTTATGAAAAAAAAAAACACTATTGGAGTCAATGGGGACCAGAAACTGGTTGCAATCATTAAAGATCTCATCACAGAGGCTAATCCAGGATCTCATATAGCCTAACACTACACATGCTTTATCTTTAACTATTAATGCTCATTTAAGACACAAATAACTGTTTACGAGGATACTCGCAAAGATGAGAATTTTTGACACATGACTGTGTATTTGAACGTTTAAGCACAAGGAGCAAAAAGTTTAGTCAGTCGCAATACGAGCAGGTGCGCCCCGCGCGAATCAGGCTGAAACCGTCTTAATGCACGCATTTACCAGAATGAATTCTGCCCCACTGCTTAATGTTCATTAACAGTTTAAACCATTTGTTTTAAAACCTGCTTAAAATGTGTTTAAATGATAAGCTTAGCCTACATCTTGACGCGCAAAACGATTGATACATTTCTACCAGATATTATCTCGGGGTCCTATTATGCTTTTTCCCTTTTTTAATTTTAGTCAGTGTGTAGTGTGTATGTTTGGGCATAAAAAAGAAAGTTACAAATCTCAAAGTGTGCTGCGCATTTTACTGAGGACAGCTTCCACAACACGAGGGAGTACAGTGCCGGATTCGCCAAAAGCTTTTGTTGAAAGATTGAGCAAGGGGCGGGGCAGTACTGAAACACCGTCTAAGCTGTTCACCAATCACAACGCACTGAGACAGCTAATCTATCACAACACATTTTGTTTTTCGGAAGGCGGACCTTCATCAAAGCCAGAACTAATCGAGCCATTTGTGCCAGGCTGGGGAGAAAGGTATTTTAATAATATAAATTATATGAAAAATAATACGTTTTTCGAACCACCAAGCATGAGAGCATGTTCTAGTACACCCCCAAAACAAAATCAAGACTTTGTAAAAAAAGCATAATAGGACCCCTTTAAATGAATATATAGAGTTTGTTCAAACACAAAAACAATATACATCCAGTTAATAATCAAACTAACCTAAAATCTGTGTAGACAATGACGCTGTTTTTTTTCCATGTGCCCGGTTCACTTGCTGTTCCAACAACAGTTGATTGAAGTTACTTCCACTCCATCATCAGCTTTAGTAAAATAACCTGATCTGGGGAGTTTACTGACTAACTTATGTTTTTTTGCTGTTGTTTGTATTTGAAGTTTTTCATTTTTTGAGCCCCTCTCTCTCAGAATTGCTGACATCTTTACTTACAGAATATTGTTCTTTGCGCGAACATTTCCAGATGACTTCATAACGAAATGAAGAGTGAAGGTGAATGCAGACATATAGGCTGGGCAGCGATCATCTGATAGATTCCTGCACATGTCGTTCAAATGTCAAATATAGAATAAATGCATTTGCTTAGTAAACCAAATTAAGACTTTAAGCTTCAATCTCAAATGGTAATGCATGGAATTTACGGAAAAGCTGAACTAAATAACAGCGCTAATAAGTGGGGGGCGTGGTGACTTTAGCGATCGGCGCACCAGTTTATTTACCCTACAGCCAATCACGGGCCCCCTCCTTGCTCGGGCCCCGGGGCTTCAGCCCCACCTAGCCCAATGGTTAATATGGCCCTGCCTACATAGCATATCCTTTGGCACATGCAGCAAGTGAAATACACAACCTGCTTCATTAGGAAGTTGCAATGTGTCATTGATGAAAAAATGTACTATAATATAATGACTTTTTCTTCTATTTACACTTAAAATTTAATGTTCTAAATGCACGTTTTGCCTTGTTTAACAGGCTTAACACAAAATGTTGATTTACTTGAGCACATTTTAAGCACATTTACATGATATAATATGATTTTCAGAGCATATATCTTGATTAAAATTTATTTTATATTAAATAGATTTATTAATTTATTTATTAATAAGATATTATTTGTGAACGAAATTTCTTAATTTTTTTATCCGATTTTGGCAAATAGCCTAGTTTTATTTCTTATTTTAAACATGCATCTACAGTATAACTTGAGGTTCATGCTAAAAAAAAACTATTTACCAATAGAGAGTATTCAGGTAAATAAATGGTATTCAGGATATATTCTCTGAAAACATCTTACACAATTTTGTTTCTCAGGTAATTTAATTTTATGTTAAGCATGCATATTCTGATTAGAAGATCTTTTGAATGGCCTTCAATGGAGAGACAAGCCCATGTAACATTGTAGTTACAGCAGCTAACAAATAGGGGCAAACTTCTCAAATTAACCACACAAACCACTGTGTTCAACTAAAGTCCTAAGCAGGTTCTAACCTCTTTTTCTGTCCGTATTGAAAGCAAAAATGTTCTATGATGCCTAAAATTGTCCACTAAATGAGTGATCTAAATCAGAACAGCTGACTTAGAACATTTGAACAAATCTTTCCAGAATGCACACTGATTAAACCATCCAAAAACCTTTGACTACTTCACGGATATTACATAACACTTTCGTTATCTCACTTGTACTGCATTCAAATTGATGCTCAGAGGTTTCCTCATAGCTCTGGGCTTGTTGTCTTGCTAGCCACTGAAGTTTTAGGTTGCTTTAGGAGGAAAAAATATATCAGGAAAAGAAACTTCAATGCAATGCCATTTAATTTGAAGAGTGCCAAACAAAGGAACTAAGAACTCTATCTAATCATTAACAAGCTGTTCTTGTATCTAATATGACTGATATTTAACCTCCGATTTTCATGACTGCCCTGCTACACATACTTGCCTAAAATGTTCAAATGTCTCAAGTCATAGTGCATTAGAAATAGTGTGCCAAAGTGTCAGGATGGTATTTCCATTGGATTTTCAAAGTGTGCATCCATTTATGAATTATTGGCTAATACTATCAAAGCTAATACTACCAAATATTTAGCAAGCCCCATAAACCCCTGCTGTTATACAAAGGCAAATCTTTCTCCATTGACAGGGATTCAAACAGAGCCATGTATTGACTGAAATTATTTGTATTTTTAATTAAATAAATAAATAAATGCCAGTGCATAATTCTTTTTTGAGGCTTTTAAATACTATTATTGTGTTAATTAATATTTTTAATTTATTTTTATATTTTCTGTTTTCATTTTAATTTTAGTTTGTTTCCGTAATTTATGCGATTTTTGTTCAAATATGAAAATATTTATTTATTTACTTAAACTTATTTATTTCAGTTAGTTACCAAAGCAAGATGTCTAATTTTCGTTTTTTCATCTAAACTCAATTTTTCATCTAACAATTTAATTTGAGCTTTATTTCAAATAAGATATAGACCTCTTTGAATGTTCCCCAAACCCCTTGCTCTGCAGAAGAGAAGAGTTTTTAAATGTGTGACAGTTACTTATGCATTTAGCTAAATGATAATGCGTAATTGCACTTAAAAAAAATGGTGGAATATATTATAAAAAAATGTCATACTCCTGTTGTTTTATTTACAAGTTTGAAAAATCAAATCAGTGTTTTTTTTTCCTTTGCAGACACATTTGCGTGCGATTAAACTGACATATACACTGTAAACACTGTCATTTCTACATGGTTTATTTTCAGTTTCTCAATTCAACAAGTGATCTAAAGTGCAATGAATGCAGAGAAGAGGTTTGATAAAAAGAGAATATATCTTCAATTTATTTTATATTATTTGTATTTTTTATTATTTTATATTTTGAATTTTTTCATGCATTTATTTTTTCATTTTATTTTTATTTTATTTTTGTCATGGTATTTTCAAACACGTCAATCTCTGTTTATAATAATGTCCCAAAGATGTATGTTAATACCACTGAGATCCCACAGGGGTGTTTCTCTTTTGTTTTTCCATCCAGGTGCAGTGTGTAGCCATGGCTGCATGGGTGGAGGCGACCACAAGGGAAATGGGCCAATCGCTCATTAACCCAGACAAACCTTCAGTTTCAGCCTCTGCACTCCCTGGAGACACGGGGAAGCCAGCACTGGGCCCAAAACCCCACCTCATGCCCAAACCATTTGTCCTGCAAAGGAACGCCAGCGTCCACCTGATCCGGGCCCCGAAAACCAACTTTAGCAGAGAGCTCAATCGAGCCGCCTCTTCTGAAGTGCTTTTTGACATCACAAAACCTGGTACTGGTGGTTCAAAACCATCAGAATCCCTAAAATCAGGATCAAACGGCACAGTAAATGGCTCTAACCAAAGTGCAGATCCTAAACCGGTCTCACTCAGCCAAAAACCTGACTTAATGGCTAAGGCTAAACCAGAACCCACAAAGACTCCTGGTTCTAATTACCAAACCGGTCTAAACTCAAAGACTGGTGTGACCGCTGAAGATGTGAAGGACGTTCAGCCCAGGAGCAGAGCAAAATCCATGGGTTCTCAGGATCAAAAGATCCTGAGCCAGAAGGTCCAAGGAGAAGCAGCCAAGACTGAAGCGGACGTCAAAATGTCTTCAAGATGCTGGCCGCCTCGAAATCGTCTCTCCGTGGAGCTGACCTCCAAGTTCGAGTCACCATCTCAACCAGAGAAAGAGGTGAGGAGAGATGCTGAAACCAGCAAGATGGAGAAAGATTGGCCGCCGCATTCTCCTTCTGAGTCCAGGTCTTCAAAGCCTCTGATGGAGAAAGGAGAGACAGGAGATGAGGAGGTCAGCGGAGGCAGCATTAAGAGACGGATCAGCCTTCTCTTCGATCGATCTACAGCAGCTCAGTGCAGGGACACCTTCAACAAAAGAGACAATCCACAAGCCGAAATATCTGTTGACATTAAACAGAGAATCCAGAATCTGAGCTTGGATGCACCAAGGACGCGCTTGCCATCCACTGGTGCTCCAAAAAGGTTAGTGAAGCCTTTCTTTTCATTTTGACCTTCAGTACTTGTGTTTCTTATGCACAAAGCATACTCTGTGTACATAAACAGATACTAGGGCTCAACTGACAGAACTTGAACTGTCGATTTTACATTAATTGATCTTGTTGATCAGTTTTTATGTATTGCATAAAGATGGATATGTGTGATCCTGATCCAAACACCCACTCAGTTGTATTTGAAAACATTTCAGCTATGTCTGTTATGACTCTTAACCATTTGACACATAGCCAACAATCACACGGGTGATCAAATCAAGTTTAAACACTGCCGCTGTTCCAGAAGGACCAGTTGTCATGTTTATGTATGAAACAGCTTCACAAACATCATGGCAGGTGACTTTTTTTATAAGTGATTCATTCTTGTTCATTCAAGAATGAAACAAGCGAGCGAGTCAATGAGCCATTCATTCAACGGATTCGTTCAAAAAAAACGGAATCATTCAAGAACAAATTTTTCAGTTTAATATGTTTTTACAATAGTCTGAAGCAAAGAACATTTTTGTCAGAAATGACAATGTTCTTTCCTTTCATTTATTTAGTAGCCTAACATAAACACTTTTTCTTTAGAATCGTGTTTCGCAATTAACTTAAATGTTTTATTTTTGTACATTTTGCTGAATTGTCACCAAGATAATGTTAGATTGCTGACTAACTGATTTTGTTGAAATGGCAAAGATGACAATCAGTGACGTTTTATGCAATCATTTATCAGAAAAAAGTGTTTATGAATTAATGCTGTTTAAGAACTTTGAGCTGTATAATTTGTTGCAAATATCCTTTTGTGTATTGGCCTACTGTGGCGGTAACAGAAAATAATAACACTTAATGAAAAATAAAAATATTATTCTTGGCAAATATAAAAATAGCTAAAAATAAAAGTTATTTTGTGGTGGGGCCAATGGAAATGTTGGCAGGAATGTTAAGTATGTATTCTGGCCTTATGTTATTACGTATTTTCAAAGCTGTAACATATTTCCAAACTCTTATGTTTGCAGTCCACCATCCGAGAAGACACAGAGCACCTCAGATGAGCCACCGAATGAGAGATCTTCTGAAAAACCTGCAACAACAAAAAAGGTTCCTGGTGACAAACCAGCAAGTACGACAGAAATCAAGAACTCTGCTGCTAGTGTGGAGAATGTAGAAGAAGAGGAAGATGATGTTGCCATTCCTGTTGGGATAAGCCTAGATGCGGAGAAGAAGAGAAGGGAAGAAGAAGAAAAACAGAGAAAAGATGAGCAGTTAGAGAAAGAAAGACAACAGCGGGAAAGGGAAAGACTTTTGGAAGAGGAGAGGGAGGCAAGAGAAATAGAGAGACAGAAAGAGGAGGAACAAGAGAGAAAACAGGAAGAGGAAAAGCAAAGACAGATGGAGGAAAGGAGAAAGCAAGAAGAAGAAGGAATGAGAAGAATTGAAGAAGAAAGAAAAGAGGAGGAGAGGAGGAGACAAGCCGAAAAAGAGAGGGAGAGATGGATCGAAGAGGAGAAGAGAAGGATTCAAGAAGAAAAAGAGCGACTGAGAGAAGAGGAAAGACTGGAGAAACTAAAGAAAGAGAAAGAAATGGAGGAAAGAAAACGAATGGAAGAAGAGAGACAGAAAGAGGAGGAAAGATTGAGACAGGAACGAGAAAAAGAGAGGCTACAGAAGGAAAAAGAGATGGAAGAAGAGCGGAGAAGAATTCAGGAGATGGAGAGACAAAGAGAGGAAGAAAGATTGAGAAAAGAGCAAGAATTAGAGAGAATAAGGAAAGAAAAAGAGATGAAAGAAGAGAAACAAATAATTCAAGAGATGGAGAGAAAAAGAGAGGAAGAAAGATTGAGAAAAGAGCGAGAATTAGAGATAATAAGGAAAGAAAAAGAGATGAAAGAAGAGAAACAAAGAATTCAAGAGATGGAGAGACAAAGAGAGGAAGAAAGATTGAGAAAAGAGCAAGAATTAGAGATAATAAGGAAAGAAAAAGAGATGAAAGAAGAGAAACAAAGAATTCAAGAGATGGAGAGACAAAGAGAGGAAGAAAGATTGAGAAAAGAGCGAGAATTAGAGATAATAAGGAAAGAAAAAGAGATGAAAGAAGAGAAACAAAGAATTCAAGAGATGGAGAGACAGAAACAAGAGGAAAGATTGAGACAGGAACGAGAATTGGAACGAATAAGGAAAGAAAAAGAGATGGAAGAAGAGAAACAAAGAATTCAAGAGATGGAGAGACAGAAACAAGAGGAAAGATTGAGACAGGAACGAGAATTGGAACGAATAAGGAAAGAAAAAGAGATGGAAGAAGAGAAACAAAGAATTCAAGAGATGGAGAGACAGAAAGAGGAGGAACGATTGAGACAGGAACGAGAAAAAGAGAGACTACAGAAGGAAAAAGAGATGGAAGAGGAGAGGAGAAGAATTCAAGAGATGGAGAGACAGAAAGAGGAGGAAAGACTGAGAAAAGAGCGAGAATTAGAGAGAATAAGGAAAGAAAAAAAGATGGAAGAAGAGCGAAGAATTCAGGAGATGGAGAGACAGAAAGTGGAGGAAAGATTGAGACAAGAACAAGAATTGGAACGTATAAGGAAAGAAAAAGAGATGGAAGAAGAGAAACAAAGAATTCAAGAGATGGAGAGACAGAAACAAGAGGAGGAAAGACTGAGAAAAAAACAAGAACAAGAAGAAGAGCGGAGAAGAATTCAGGAGATGGAGAGACAGAGAACAGAGGAAAAACTGAGACAGGAGCGAGAAATAGAGAGACTACAGAAAGAGAGAGAAATTGAAGAAAGAAAACGAATGGAAGCAGAGAGACAGAGAGAAGAAGAAAGACTGAGACAGGAACGAGAAAGAGAGAGACTAAAGAAAGAAAAAGCGATGGAAGAGGAGAGACAAAGAATTCAGGAGTTGGAGAGACAGAAAGAGGACAGATTGAGACAAGAACGAGAAAATGAGATGGAGATGGAAACATGTAAAGCAGCAGAGAGATTACGAGAGGAAGTTCCTACGAGTTATGATTTAATATCGTTTGACGCGGAGGGACCGGCGGCGTCACAGACTCTCGTCTCCACCGTCCAGGCCGCTGACGTCCCGCCTCGGCTCACTGAAGTGATTTATGATGACTTTTCAGTGAAACCCCGAAGATGGGGAACCGGGGCGAGACGTTCCTCGACACCGTCTCCATCCAGAGAACCTCCTGCTGCTCCTGACCACAGTCTACACCCAGAACCAAAGTCCAGTGATCCTGGATCCCAAGAACCATGCGGAGATCAGGTATATGTGCATGATCTGACCGGATTTGAACCTGAAGCTTCCAGTCCACAGAACTCGACCGAAAGCAGAAAGCAAACATATTTATTTGAGGAGTCCAAACCAGAGGACCTGCTGGAGCCAGAAACTCAATCTGATGAGGTGAGACCAATGGCAGTTATTTAAATATTGCGAAATGATTTATTTATGAATATTGTGATATGTTTTACTCTAATAAAAAACAATAAGCCACAAGAGACTTTAAATTACAGTGATTTTACCTCATGTTTAGGGGTGTTCTTATGAGGTAAAACAGAGTCTAAAACTCTCTTAAATTTCTTAATCTTAATATAAAAATATAAAAGTAAAAAAGATGTTGAAATATCTTTATTAATAAACATTTATTAATAATAATCAGTGTATTTATGTGTATGGTCCAAGGTACATTCTTAATTCTATATTCTATCAAATATATTAGAAATAATATTTAAAAATGCACAATAAAAAATAAAATAATGTAATATACAAATATAAAAGTTGCAGAGAAATTATAGTCCAGGGCACATATTAATATAAAATATATAAAAAATCTAAAAACTACTTGAATAAAATACAGATAATATAAAATATATAAAAATAAATAAATGTTTATTTTATAAAATAAAAATAATATAAAATATATACAAATAATCAAATATTTTATAACATAAAAATAATGTATTATAAAGTATATAATTATAAAAGTAAAACATTTATATAACTTTTATAAACTTTTCATTAATAGTATTCATTATTAAATATTATTATTCATTAATTATATTCAAGATATTATTCATTAATAAAAAAAAAATCTGAATAATTTTTTCTATTAGCCTAACTGAAATCTGAAAAGCAATGTAGCTACTTGGCACCTTATTTATAATGTGCAATCACAGGTGTACATTTATCTGCATTTCGAACATGGCTTATGCAATCAGAATTTAAAATAAGAAAATAAGTCATTTTTATAAAGTAAATATTTGAATTTTAATGAATCAAAAACTAAAAGGGCCCCACTAATCTCAGCTGGCAGTAAACACTGTTTGAAAACGATTGTGGCCCTTTTGGCTTTCAATAGTTTAATGCGCAGCAGCCTGTAGGGGGTTACTAGCTGGTTAGCAGTACTAGCTGATTAGCAGTACTAGCTGGTTTAGCAGTTAATCCCTGCTAGTTGCTCCTACATTATGGGGGCAAACGACACCTGTCTTCATTCACAGCTGTTCAAATCCATATATCATACAATTATTTGCAATCAAAATATAAATCACTAAAACTTAGTTGTTTGTTGAAAGCAGATCTCATCTGTTAGCATTAGTTTTCCTCTCAGTCACAGTTTCAGATGCATGTATCAGTCAAATATACAACCTACATGCCCTCATCCTAACCTAATCTAAAGACAAATGCACGTAATCTGCTCAATGGATGTTTTTATGTTCGTTGGAAGTTCTGAGGGAAGAAAAATAGTATCTGCAATTGCCAAACTTCACAAGCATTGTCTCTTAATAAGAGAATTGCAAGAGCTATAAATGTCCAGAGCTGCGTTTCTCTAAAGCATCGTGAGAAAAGTTGATCGTAGAGACCATTGGTGGCAATCGATCTTACGATGTACTTTGGCTTACGATGCTTTTGGAAAATGCAGCCCAGACTTGTATAAGCACAACTCGCATGCATCAGACTTGCTAAAAGTCAAAAAATCTAGCTTGTAACATTACCTATAGAGAATTGCATGATTTTTTTAGTGACAGCAAGCATAATCCGCTCATAGGTGAGGGTACGAGAAACCTTGTTTAGCTAATGTTGCTCTTCAGGGCAGGGCCTTTGTTTCCATTGATTGTGTCATGTTGGAATTTGCCATTGGTGTCTTATGACGGCATAGAGTGATGTCATCGCAGTAGATGCTGCTTTGTTCTGGGTGTGTGTATATAGATGTGTTTATTCTTACTTGACACTTGTCCTTGAGTCAGGCCTGTGGCATTTTCCAACAACACTTATCGACTGCATTTGAGCAACAGATCATACAAACATTGGCATTGATTACATATACTGTATGTCTATTTACTGCACAATTAATCCAAATTAAATTATCGTTATAATATTATTCAGATGCCTACATGACATGGGCAAACGTCTTCAGTTGTTTTTACATGATCCTTGCCATTATTTTGATTATTTACTAAGAAATCTAGTTGTTTTAGAGCCATTTTGCAATAAAAAAGATGTTCAATTAAAATAAAAATTATCTCTCTCTCTATGTATATATATATATATATATATATATAAAACCTATAAGTTAAAAATCTGACTAAATATTTCCATTTATTTTTAAAGGGTTAGTTCACCCAAAAATTAAAATTCTGTCATTAATTACTCCCCCTCGTGTTGTTCCAAACCCGTAAGACCGCCGTTCATCTTCGGGAACATAGACAGATATTTTTGATGAAATCTGAGGGCTCTCTGACCCTCCCATAGACAGCAAGGTAACTACCACGTTCAAGGTCCCACGTTATGAAGCTACAAGAATACTTTTTAGTGCAAAGAAAACAAAAATAACGACTTTATTCCACATTTTCGTCTCTACTGCGTCACTTGTGGACACTCGTTCACGACAGTACCATATACGCGAGCGTGTGGCGGCGCCGGCGCTGACCCAGATCTGGCCCAGATCTGGGTCAGTGCCGCCACACACTCGCGTCATGATACTGTTGCGAACGCGCGTCCACAAGTGCGCAAAAAGTATTCTCGTAGCTTCTGTTACTTTCTCCGCTTCAGCGATTTCCAGCGGCAGCGTAAAAGCTCGTCAATTCATGTTCGTGCAAGGGAGGAGACAGACAAAATTACCGATGCATGCCATTTTTTTACTCGTTTTCATGTTGTTAGGTTCACAGTGCAAAACAGCTCCCGGGTGGACTGATTTGACTTAACTTGTAAGCGGAATACAAACTTTCTCCCTCCGTTTTCTCTCCAGCACATTTCACACTGAACTACATTACACATAATGCATCTCACTCTGGACTACAACTCCCATACATAGCTGTTTTAAAGCGGCAACTCCTTTTTCCTCTCTCCCGCAACACTTCGTAACTTAACAGTTGAACCACTGATGTCACACGGACTACTTGTGCCGCCACACACTCGCGTCATGATACTGTTGCGAACGCGCGTCCACAAGTGCGCAAAAAGTATTCTCGTAGCTTCTGTTACTTTCTCCGCTTCAGCGATTTCCAGCGGCAGCGTAAAAGCTCGTCAATTCATGTTCGTGCAAGGGAGGAGACAGACAAAATTACACTGATGTCACACGGACTACTTTGTCGATCATCTTGGTACTTTTCTGGACCTTGAACGTGGTAGTTACCTTGCTGTCTATGGGAGGGTCAGAGAGCCCTCAGATTTCATCAAAAATATCTTAAATTGTGTTCCGAATATGAACGAAGGTCTTATGGTTTTGGAACAACACGAGGGTGAGTAATTAATGACAGAATTTTCATTTTTGGGTGAACTAACCCTTTAAGTACTTTTGTCTGTCTATTGAAAGGTTATCTGAACACAGCTCATTAAGTCACAATTTAGTGTCAGTTTATTCTATTGATATAATAAAATTAATTGGAGTGAAAATTGACATCAACGAGGAGTAATTTTTGTGATGATTTTCAGCCATTTTGTACACAGTAACATGCTCAATTCAAATGCAGTTGACTTGTTTGTTGCTTGCTGTTTTTATTTGCTGATTCAAAAAAATGCAAAATAGTTCCTGCTTCTTGTTTATCTGAGTGACAGAAATGCGATTAAATTGTGTACTTGCCTATAGTGCAATTAAAACCGCCACATATTTTATTGTGATAATGGTTATACTGTAATTAGGATCAGAATGGCATCATGCACAATATTCTGAAGACATGAGCACCAATGTAATCACAGCAACATAATCACAATCTTAATGACACATAGCCAATGCTTTAAGCTAAGGATGCACTGGATTTGATCAAACCCTAAGTATAAACCCTATTGTTGAGTTTAGTGAGCACCACTAATTATGGTCTAGAGGCTGAATTTGCATTTGATTCCATGTGAAGAGTTTTGGGGACAGACAGGGAAGTTTCTCTGCTCCGATCTTCATGTAAATGATTTGCAAAGCCCTGTAGGTTTGGATGATTACTTTCGTATGCAAGGCAAAAAAAAGTTTGAAACTCCAAAATGTTTGAAACAAAAATAGAAAATTTGCAATGACGTAGAATGATTTGAATATTTTTCTTTGTTTGATTTTCATATTTTCATGTGAACTACTGGTTGAATCTATTGGGCTACAGATTAAGATTCACTTGGGTCTTATTGCATGTTCATGCAGTTGTTTACATCAGGAAAAGGAGAGAAAATATCTGTGCATGTGTGGGATTTCTCTGGTTTATGTACATTCACAGAATGGTTTAATAAAACATTCAGCATCTGAATGTGGGCTTTAGAGGTATTTAATTCAATTAAGTTCATAAAGATACTATGTGTTTACATTTTCTTAAGAAAGTGAGTGGTACAAAGGTCAGCATCATTATTTTTTTTATATATAATAACACTTATAATATTAAATAAATAAATATAAAAGTTAAAAACCTTTCCAAATATTTTCAGTTTATTCATAATAGAGTACTTTTGTTTATAAGTCCATTATTAGTAGTATTATTATTATTAAATACAATCTCTTCAGTTGTTTACATGCAAATTGCCATTGTTATTCACTAAGAAATATGGTTGTTTTACAGTCATTTTGTTGCTATTTTGTTGTACCCAGCAACACAAAAGGTTCAATAAAAATACAAATAAAAAAGGCTCAAAAAAGGCTGAAATACAGTAAAATTAGTAATATTGTGAAATATTATTAAAAAAGTTATGAAATTAAAAAAAAAGTTTTCTTTTTTAATGTTTTTAGAGCCCTGCTCTACACTGCCCAAAAACTTGCTTTAAATATATAAAATATAAAAACTCTTTTTTATTAGTAGCCTACAGAACATTCTCAAAACAACCTAAAAGGACAGTTAAAAAGGGCTTAATTTAAAAAAATTGTTATTCTAAATGGTACCATAAAAAAAGGGATGAGTCAAAAGTATAAATTATTATATTAATTGAAACAATTA